GCAGAAAGTTAACGTTCCATCAAGATAATACCATACGTGTCTGCATTCACCGGCTGGCCTCTGTATGAACTCGAAAGGGATCTTTCACCACACCCACCATATAACCCCAACATCGCACGTTCGGACTTCTACCTTTTTTTCACACTTGCAGCTACATCTTGCTGGTCCTTCTTCCATTCTGCACAAGACGTCCGAAATGAGGTTGATCTGTGTTTGGACTCAGGCCACCAAGTTACCGAGCCGAAGGTTTTGAAAAACTACCAAAAAATTGGCAGAAAAGCATAGATTTTTGGTAGTGATTACTACCTGCACTAAAGGTACTGACTGCTTTTTTTATTTTCATAACTTTATGAAGAACGTTCGTGCTTAAAATTTTCGTTACAACCATTAAATTTTGTAATTTATTAATTCCTTCCCACTTCTCATGTATTTATCAGCTGTACTTTAAGAACTTGATACTCCTACAGTTATCAGCTGTACTTTATAAATCTGATATGTAGAAACACAATTTGATTTTATGCATTTCAGTATCAAGTGAAATCTTGAAACTAATCGCTCATTATAACACTTTATGTTGTTTTCATTCAAAGCTGAACTCAGATAATGTGCTGAGGTTGAACTACCAGTAATAGGCAACTTTAGCGCTTGCCCGCTAGAATTTAGAGAGGAACTGAGTGCTAGAATTGGGTTAGGCTCTTTGAATATAGCAAAGCCACAAGGTGGCAGATAGCAAATGCCTTCGTGGAGGAAGTTTCTAAAGGCTTAGTTTAGTTTATTATGGTGTGGTGTAGTGTTAATGCTTCAACTGTGTGATGTTGAACTCCAATGAAAACGCTAATGACGGAACATCACATGAAAATTTTATTGAACACCCAAAAAAAATGGCTACATGCAATACAGAAGAGAAAAACCTAAATCTTTTCCTTAAAATGAAATTCTATACATTTTACGTGCGAGAGCAATTCGTGGCTCTCGAGCTTGCATTTTTAACATTGCCAACGATTTAATTATTTTAATAAAGACTATTTTAACAACTATTGAAAACGTATTTGCAAGTTAAAAAATAATAATTTTCAGCTTATGCTCACGAGACATCCTTGTCCATATAAATCTTCAACCTCTTCTTCTTTTATGTGACCTAATCATAATGGCAAAGCACACTAGGATGCCTTCATATTGGACTTTCTTAGAGAAACTGGCTCCCCATACATGTTACACACGGGGAAGATTATGAAAACGTCCATGTAGCTAGCCCATTCACCTTGATTCGAACCCAGGTCGGAACTGCCAGTGTTCAGCGATTTAACTGCTCGGCCGCGGGTGAGCCTAATTGCTGAAGGAAACTGGCTCGTATTCATGTTACACAAGGGAAAAACAAACCATGCAGCCAGCTGGTTCGCCTGGGATCGAACCGAAACCATGTCAAACTTCCAATAATCAGTATTCTTAATCACTCAGCCACTGGCGGCACGTGGCAGAAGTAGGAGCCACAGATATTGTAGTGAGCAGCAAAAACCTCTAATACTGACCCTGGTTACTAGTAGGATTATATATTGGTAATCATCCAATCTACAGCAATGAAATTTCGGAGCATAATTGTGAAGTCAAATACGACACTTCAATAAACGTGATAAAGATGGAAAAATTTTTAAAAAAGGAAACTTACTATGCAAATACATGTATTCATTAGTAAACATTTTATAAAATTTATTCTTAATTTAGCGTTTACGAATTCTCAGAGAATTATCTCATCGGATTATTTTTTTTTTCCTCTGGTAATTCAATATAATTGAGTAAATTTATGTGCTGTTAATATTTGCCTGTTATGTACATAGTTTTTTTTTTTTTTTTTTTTTTTTTTTTTTTGTTCAAAGTTAGATAAAACTGAACATACGTTACACTGAAATTACTTTATCTAGAAAGAAGTAATGTTATAAAATTTTGAATTTGAAATTATCGTACTTCGTTTTTAGTAGCGCAGAATGATAAAGATTTAATGAGAATACAGCAAAGCATCTTTTTAGAAACGCTGTTATAATTTTGCTATTTTATTTTATTATGGTAGGTCAAGGAAAAAGGCAGGCTGCTAAATACGGTAACAGCACATTGCTATGTTTAATATATAGCGAATCCGCTTTGAAATGAGGCACGAAGCAGTAAAGTAGCTGAACACCAGTAGTTCGGTCCGAGTTTCGAATCCTGCAAAGGGACTGGCTGCTCTCTCGTGGTTTTACCCTGTGTAACGTGTATAGGAGTCAATTTCCCTTAGAAAGTCTTCAACGAAGTTATCCTTTCCCTTAGTCAGATAGATCGTACTGGTGTTTATGTTATTTTCAAAAATGATCATCCTAGAAAATTGATTGCCAAAAAGTATTCACTTCGCTTATTTATACATTATGCATGAATATACTAACATATATAAATTACTAATGCTTAAAACAAATTCAATTTTCAATATTCTGTTTCCTATTTGTTCCTGTTCAATGAAACAGATTCATACACAGCAAATCCAAATGCATCGCTACAGGAAGATGATAAATCAGTTCAGTACGTAATTACAGTTACATCCGGAAAAGAGTATATATACATATAAATACATATATATATATATATATATATACGATATATATATTGTATATCGTTTTTTCGGATGTATCTATAATATGTATCATTTTACTTTGCTAAAATATAATGTTCAATTTTGTAATTTAGGAATTTCTTCCCCCTTATATCATGTATTATCAGCTTGTACTTTATAAACGTGATACCCTTTCAATTATCAGCTGTATTTTATAAACCTGAAACATAGAAACGCAATTTGATTTTATGCATTTCAGTATCAAGTGAATTCTTGAAACTGATTGTTCATTATAACACTTTATGTAGTTTTCATTCAAAGCGGATCTGAGATAATGTGCTGCAAATTATTTCCACACTAAGTTTTTTTGTGCAAATAATACGTCCTGCTAGTGTTTTTGTAATAAAATGCATGTTAGTAATTGATTTTGAATTTTCGTTGCATCTTGATATTGCTGCCAAAGATATTCAATCAAGAATAGTATCTTTTACTATGTTTATGTGTATAGATACATAGACCATTTCTCCGTGTACTAGAAAAATTTGATAATGTTTTATCCACTTTTGAATTAAAAAAATATAGTTCGGAGTGTTATACGATTTTATAATACAAGTAAAAAATATATATAAAGCTCTGGAAAGGGCTTACATATATTTATGGAATATTATGGATGGATGAGTAAATGGAATATTATGTGCATGCTATATATGTATACACATATCATTAAGTATAAAATCATTTATATATAATTTTTATGTCGCGATGAATTTACCGAAATGCTTAAAAATCTAGTATTTTTAAAAACTGTTTTCTTCCGCAGAATAACGGCAAATTATGAAACATTACGCAACATTGAAAAGCGTGATGAAAAAATTTTGCGAAAAGAAATAGCGACTGCTGCACGTATCTCACAGATATCTTTCATTCAACACAAAAGTAGAAAAGTTATATTCCTGTTCAAAGCATACCCTGCAGTCTGAGTCACAGACGGAAGAAATGACAGCAGGTCTTTTGTTCAACTGAGGGAATATGTTTAAGTGTTTTATGGCTTACTTACTTTCCCGCCAAACGAGTACAGAGGAAGGGAAGCATCATTGCCATAGTAACCAGGCTGTAGGTAGTCTTACAGATTTGAGTCTTTATCGCTCAACGTTCGTAGCGCCATCTGTTATTAAAAATCGACATGAGAAAGGGGTATTAAACCCTCTTAATAGAAATTTTCGTAATATATTTTGTAATTTATTTCGTAATTATATATATATATATATATATATATATATATATATATATAATTGAAAAGCTAGTAAGTACTGTGCTGTAAGACCTATTTGGTCTTAAAATTTTTTTGCGCAATATGCTGCAAAAATTATGAAATAATAAGAAGAAAAATTATAGTGAGCTCGCCAAGAAGTTACCAGGAGCTGACTTCAAGAAATGGTTCAATGCAGTATATTAAAAAAAAACAATGACATTGAAGGGTGAAAAATTAGGCTACACACGAAATAAAACGTAGAATATAAGAAACAGTTAAAATCAATCATTGGAAACATGTGAATGGCAAAAAATACAGTAAAAACCTATCGATGTGATAAGTGAAAAGTTAACACATATTAAAAAACCGATCGACGGAACAAGTTAAAACAAAATTAAAACATATTAAAAACATAAAAGTACAAAAATTATAAAAATTACAAAGTGGAAAATGGTAAATTAGCCTAATTTGACTTCCAACCTGGCTTTTCAAGGGAAATTTCAGTTGGACGTCGAACCAAGCTACACCATTACGCGTTTCGCCGAAACAGACAATTGAAACTCTTGTGCAACGAAACATTTTTTAAATAATATGAATTGTCCCAAAAAAACTTTTGGAACCTCAATTCTCTGTTCCAATTTCCCGACGCGTCCGCAAAAAATGACACATTATATATATATGAAAAATGAATATTTATATATATGCAGGGTGGTTCAAAACTATATGTCACAAATGTCATATACTTCTAATATCTAGTTTGTTTTATTTTTATTACTTATGACCAGTTCCCAAATTGATATGTCAGGAATATGCACCGTCTCCAAAAATAAATTATACAACAGTCTGAGTATGCTTTAACATAGTTTTAAGCTGGTGAACCTTGTAGAGACATTAGGATTATTTTGGGGGGAGGGGGAAGCAGGCAAGATGAAAGATGAGCAACGCCTTCGTTGGGAATCGAAACCGTGGACATCTGGAATACGCGCCCAGCATGCAGACCACTACACCACAAAGGCACACTAATAAGGCAGGAGAAATACCTTATAACATTTTTATATTTTTACTAGGTGTGACAATCAGTTCTTGATTATTGAATTTATTCAAGAATTAATAATTTTTATTGCACTGTTATTTTATTTGTTTTTTTTTTTTTTTTTTTTTAATTTATAGGACGTGATCGTGTTTTCAATACGCCGCTTTGCGAACAGGGCATTGTGGGATTTGGAATTGGTTTAGCTATTGCTGGTGCAACAGCCATTGCGGAGATTCAGTTTGCAGATTATATTTTTCCAGCTTTTGATCAAGTAAGCTATACCTTAAAATATTTTATGTTTTTTTATTTAGAATTCATTAACTTACTGGTATTTTGGCTGTAGTCACAAATATTTAACTATCAAATTCCGTAGCTTATGAAAGAAAATTAAATAAATTGCCTATAATGAAACTGTGGTATATTACAAATGTATGAATTAAACTGATTGTTCTAATTGTTTTGTTGCAATGATTTCTAATTGAAGAATGTAATAATGTATTCCGGATTTTAATGACTTTAAAATTCATTGAATATCTCCTTAAAATTGGCCAGAAATGCACTCAAATGGAAGAAGTTGCTTTAAAAAATATAAGTTTCTCCAAAATAAATAAATAAATAAATCTGAAAATCTGATTTTAATTATATCCAAAGGGGCGTTTTTTTAACTTTTTGTGTGTTACTTTTATTTATTAAATATCACATTCTTTGCACTTAAACCATAAAATTCAGTTCAAGAGCAAAATTGCAAAATAATTTTAAATTAAGCATATCTTTAGAATTTCCAATACGCAGTCTTACGCGCTGGAGATAAAAATGCTTTTTCTGTACAACGTTGAAATGGCTTGCTTTGAATTCCTTAAGTTTTGTTAATCAAAAATTCATTAAAGATTTACAAAATTTGAAATCGATAATGAAACAAGTTCTAAATTTCAAATTTGGACTTCCAGATGCCCATATTTGCAGCAGGATTACATCATTGAAAATTGGATGGCTCAAGGTACCATTTTTTTATCATAATGCAAGAAACATACATACATTTATGCAGATTCTTCATTATATAATTTCTTCAACTATAATATAATATTGGGTGGCAACAGTTTGAAAAGTGAAACGGACATTCAGAATGATTCAACGCAAAATTGCCAAATGAAAACAGTAGTCCCTCATGGACAAAAACCCATTGGATTAATAATATAAAACATTATGCAATTAACCCCTTGAGTATGGATTTATTTGAGAAAGTATTTGCATGTGGAACGGATAAAATTTTTGGTTGTGATTCATCAATAGCTACTTCACTATCAGGAGTATAAAGGTAACAAAATTTATTATTTAGGTAATCCGCTATATTTCTAATCTTATTCTGTCATCTTTATTTTCCTTTTCAATATCCGTAAAATGTAGAAAGCTTGAAATATCAAAAAACTTATCGCGTGCCACAGTGCTGGCAAATTATTGCATATCTTTTTGACCAATACACATGCATTTTTAGCTTCTTCATTTGCGACATCAAGATGCATAATGCAATATAAGCTTTCATTTCATCAAAACTTACAGGAAACCACCTCTTTTTTTTTTTTTTTTTTTTCTTGTTTTTTTGTTACACAACTTTCTTTTTCTATCCCTTGTCTGGCATATCTATTCGTCTCTTCTACTGTAGTGTCCCAAAAATCTTCATTTAAGACTTCTTTCAAAACATCTAAAGGCGTAGGATTACCACCTTGTCTACACAGGCAAGGATTAATTTCAGATATTTCAAAAAAAACTTTTTATATCGGCTACATTTTCTTCTTCTTCCCAAAACCATTCCTCTGATACTGGTTCACAAGAAGATTCACTATCACTGCTCGATAGACGTCTTGTGCGTCTTCGAAACCTTGGTTTTATATTACAATTGTCATCATTTTCTGGTTCACGAGAAGATATACTATCACTGCTCGATAGACGTCTTGTGCATCTTCAAAACCTTGATATTATATTACAATTGCCATCACTTTCTAGTTCAATATCATCTTCATCACCTTCGCTTTGTATTTCATTGTAATTGTCAATTTCAGGATCACTAAACAATTCTTCTTTAGATTTCTCAAAGTCACTTTTGCTATCACCATCATAAAATACATTCCTTGTTTTTGACATAATGGGGCAGTGTATCGCAAATAATGTTCACCGAAATACTGTAATTGCCTCTTCTATTATGACTGATACAAGCTACAATGAAATGAACAGAATTGTGCCTAACCTCAAATAATGTTTTAGACACGTCATCCGCTCCTAGGGAAAACAGGTGAATGATGTCTCTCAAACGTCAAATGTACCCAAGAGTTTAATTTTTGGTTTGACGTCTTAGACACGTCATCCGCTCCTAGGGGGAGAACGTGAATGACGTGTCTCAGACGTCAGAATGTACCCAAGGGGTTAACAAATGGATTAAACATATGTGCTACTTGAATTTTGCCTTTTCTTCCAAATTTTCAACCTTGCAAAAATGTATTACAGTTGCACATAATTATTAAGTGCTTTTTGATGTTTTCAAAAGCAAAACATCCTTCGTCAGTGCACAAGTTTCCTAACTCATGAGAAGCTTCTCTCGACATTTACTGCAATTATTGGAGCATAGTTGGAAAAAAAGTGCACCACTTATCATTAACTCTTCTTCAGAATCAAAAGAATCTGTTTCTCTTTTCAAGGTGAGGGATATTTTCCATGTGAATTCAGCAAATTCAGCATTTGAAACTTTGCCTCTGGCCTTTTTTTTAAAAAACGCTGGATAATTTATCAGTGCAATTTATTGCATTAACAATTTCTGTATTTTGTTCTTGTAAGAATTTAACAGTCGGAATTAGGATCCTAAAGTCAGATTTGATGTACACAAGATTTCCTTAAAATTTTAAAAACGTGTTGCACACAACTGGCAATGTGTAGTTCCCAGAATGTGTCTTTGTAATAGGTTCCCCCCTGTGCATGTAATCCTATGGAATGGAACATGCACAAAATTTTTAAGGAGCCAAGAAATGTAGGTATGGAAAATTTCTTAGAAGTGACAGGATGCCAAAGGAAAAGACTCTATCACCCAGCAGCTTCTTGAGTCGCTCTGTGTAGATTAAGTGTCCAAACCTCTGGAGGCTGTCTGGAGAGGTGCTATAACCTCCGATCAACGCACCGGGACTTTACATATTAGGCATCACATGGTATTTCTCCCGCCTTCTTAGCGTGCCTTCGTGGTGTAGTGGTCTGCATTCTGGGCGCGTATTTCAGAGATCTGTGGTTCAATTCCCGACGAAGACGTTACATATGAATGATGATTCTTCACACCCAGGATTTGGCGATTGGATCCCCTGTAAACCAAAAGGGCGAGTATATAATCTATTTCTCCCGCCTTTTTAGCATGCCTTCGTAGTGTGGTGGTCTGCATGCTGGGTGCATATGTCAGAGGTCCGTGGTTTTATTCCCGGCAAAAGCGTTGCTCATTTTTCACTTCTCCTACTTTCAAAATATACTTAATGTCTCTACAACATCATCCATTGCCGAGCATTGACCGGGGTCACCAGCCCTCCTGGACAGCCCTTATATCTAGCCATGTAATGTCGCACCACCGAAGGTTCCGGACAAGACAGTACCAGTAAAGTCCCTGCCAAGCCCAAACAAACCATCGGATGTTCAATGCCTCTAGTCCTGTGAAGATTGATTATTTGCCCTGCAGGCCAAAACTGTCTAGACACAATTCTAGCCAGTTGTCTGGAAGAACATCGGGTCTCCTCTCATAAATGGTCATTCCCGGAAATTCCACCCAATCAGACCACAGGTTTGGTTGTCCAACATCATTCACCCAGGCCAGCACAGCCAACCTGGTTACCAGTAGGGGCCATGAAGAGGCCGGTGTTGAACTGGGAAAGAGAGGTTATAAGGTAGTGTGTCACTCCCCCGGCAGCAGCATCCACTCTCAGATCGAACTCCGGGTCTTCCACCACCAGCGGTCGGTTCCGGAAATTCATCCTCGAGGAGTAACAAACCCCCCCCCTCTTAGAAGTGACACTGAAAAAATACTCGAAGAAAAGAAGATGGGGCAGAAGCTCAGACAAAGTGCTCGAAGCTTCGTATGAGTTATCCCTACTGATTGCAAAGATGAGAAAAGTCATATTATCTGAGAAACAATCGTCAAACCTTGCCTATTGAAAGCAGGTGATATTGTTTTTGGACTGGAAAGTAAACAAAAGCTTTCACAAATACCACTTTCTCACAATACTGGGGAACATTTCATTGGTGATATGGCTGAAGGCAAAAAAATCAGTTAATGTAAACCATGAAAGAATTTTTTCTTTTTTTTTTTTTTTTTTGCAATGCAGTTAAACGAGAGTAGAGATGTTGCAAAATTTTGTCAACTGTTAGTTCGGTTCATGCAAAATGAAACACTTAAAGATGAGATGCTGTTTCCTGCAGAGTTAATGACAACTTCAAAAGTAATTCATATAACAACAGCAATCTCTGAATTCTATTGTAAATACGAACTGTCATGCCAAAAGTTGATAGGCGTATGCTCAGAGGCTGCTCCATCAATTCTTGGATCAACCCCAATGTCAACCCAAACCAGCTATTTATTGCATCATGAAGCCTTGGGAGCTAAGACACTTCCAAGCAAACTCAACGATGTCTTAAAACTATGCATCAAAATTATAATCAAAATGCTCAACTTGTTATGGCCTTTTACAAAGATTTGGGAACAGAACATCAAACATTTTTATTTCATAAACATGTACGCTGGCTCTCAAAAAAAAATATGTTAGCAAAATTATTTCAACTTAAATGAAGTGATTTAGTTTTTGGAAATTCAGAATCAAACCAAATTGTATGTGAAATTCCGAAAGCCAAGTGCTGTCTGTCAAAGGCTTATCTGTCAGATATTTTTGATTCATTGAACTCATCAAACTTGAAATTGCAAGGTGGAGATTCGAACATAATTTATTGTCGGAATGCCATCACAACATATCCTGATAAACTGCAACTCCGGAAACTTTAGCCTGCAATTATTTTTGCTTTTCCAAATTATTTGCAATCCTGGAAAAAAGGTACTTTAAAGCTGATTTTAAGGATATTGATACTAAGAATAAAATATTAAATCATCTACAGCAACTGTTGAATTTAAATGTTACTTCCCTAACTCATGTGATAAAAATATTTATGGAATGGTGACAGATCCTTTTCACATTGACATAAATGTGCTACCAGAAACACTACAAGAGCAAGTTTTGAAAATTAAAAATGATTCTGCAGCCAAATATGACTAAAAAGATGAGTAAGCCATAGCCATTATTTTGGGTAAAATATCTCAAAGTTTATCCCGGCATAGCAAAGCAAGCACCGTTTTCAAGCACTTATTTGAGTGAAAGAGCATTTTTTTCAGCCGTAGCTATAGAAACAAAATACAGACACAACACAATCTTGCAATATTTTTTTTTTTATAGTAATTTGCATTGCACACTTTCTTCTATTCAACCAAGAATTGAGTATCTTCTGAAAAATATGCAAGCACATCTGTCTCATTGAGTTATCAGGTTTTTTTCTTTCCATATGTGTCTGAAATAGCATATTTCAATAATAAAATCTTTATAAATTGTGTTTTTTGTTCTTGCTTCCCTTATAGATAGACAATACGGAGTTAGCATAAATGATTCATTCATTTTGAAAAGGCTATATTTTCAAAAGTATTATGGGTATGTGCATAAAAATATATAAAAAGAACCACAAACTCGACCAAGTTTTTTTCACAATTTTACAAAGTTTCCCAGATAAGGGGAACATTGAATAACATCTTGGTGGTGAAATCTATGTCCTCCAATGTTGATGCAAAAATCTAGTCATTGGACGTAATCCTCTGGCTTTAATGGTTGCAGGAGCTGTACATGTTACAGTTTGAAATGCAAACCATTGATGCAAAATCTTCCACAGAGTTTTTTATGGTATTCCAAACATCTGGTCAATTGACAGGGTGAACATCTGGACAACAATGTATGGAATAAGCTCGATTATTATCTAGACGTGTGTCATGTCACCAAAGGGGCACATACTGAATATTTGTAGAAGATGTATAAACTTGGTGAGTTTGCAGTTCATTTCACATATTTCGTGTGTGTATGTGGAGTACTTTTGAAAATATAGTTTTTTCAAAATGAGTGTTCTGTGTTATTATTATTAGAGAAGAGGGGATTGCATAATCTTCTTCTTCTTCTTCTTCTTCTCTCTCTCTCTCTCTTTCTCTCTCTCTCTTTTTTTTTTTTTTTTTTTTTTTTTTTTTTTTTTGATAGGATATGCCTGTCTAGTAAGAATGAGTTGAGATAGTGTTTAAGGGTAACATTATTTTTCAATATGCCTAAAAATGCTCTGAAAGCCCCAAAGGCATTGAATATCATCTTGGTGGTGAAATCTTCATCCTCCAATGTTGATGCAAAAATCTAGTCATTGGACTTAATCCTCCGTCTTAATGGTTGCAGGAGCTACACATGGTACGGTTTGAAATGCAACCATTGATGCTAAATCTTTTTTTTTTTTTTTTTTTCATTTTGTTTACAAAGCCCCCAAAATGCTTTAAGAAATTTAAAAAATGCTTTAAAGTAAGAAGCTACTCTAAAATGCAAAAACTGTTTATGTCATCAAAATCTGAGCCTTGGAAATTATGCTAGTTTATAAGTAAGTGTTTTAAACTTTTTTTTAGCCCAAAGCAGCGTTAGCTCAGAAGGACTATTAATTTTGTTTTGGCATTTTGCATCAATTCAGTATAAACAGCGAATCACTTTTGAAATTGTTGCGAGCCCTGAAATTATATTTCAAGAAATTAAATAATGAAGAATCTGCATAAATGTACCTATGTTTCTCGCATTGCGATAAAACAACACTACGTAGAGCCTTCCGGTTTTGAATAATATACGTCTCCACTCGAATATGGCATCAGGAAGCCCAAATTTGGAATTTGTTTTATTGTCTATTTAATATTTTGTAAGGCTTTTATTGCTTTTTTATTAAGAAACTCAATGATTTGAAAGCGAGCAATGGCAACACTGTACGGGGGAAAAAAAATTGTTATATCTTCAGCGTGCGAGACTGTGTATCAGAAGTTCTGAAGATATGCTCTTTTAAATATTTTCTGATATTGCCATTAGATTAAATTTTATGGTTTAAGTGTGAAGAACATGATATTTAATAAATAAATGTAACACACAAAACGTGAAAAAAATGCCCCTTCGGACGTAATATAAATTCGGAAAGGTCTCAGATTTTTTTTAATTGTTAATGTTTGCAAGCAACAATATGTTTTATTTATTTATTAATTTGTGTCAATTTTAGAAATTTTATATTTAAAATCACCGTGAATTTTTAGTCCAAAGGGGCAATTTGCCCTGAAAGACTGTTAACATTTTGCATTGAAAGCTTTAAAAGTGTGTACATATTATCGCCCTTTCTTATATTTAAAGTATCTCTTTTAGACATAATTTAAAATCTGAAACCTTACAGATTTTTTTGTGTTTTATTTTATTTACTTATTTATTTATTTATCTATTTTTTTAAAGTAATAACTGTCGTTTTTTTTTCCTCTTATTTAGTTAACAAACGAAGCAGCTAAGCTTAGATATAGATCAGGTAATGAGTTCAACTGTGGTGCATTAACAGTAAGAGCTCCATATGGTGCTGTTGGACATGGAGCTCTCTACCATTCACAGAGCCCTGAATCATTTTTTGCTCACATACCTGGACTTAAAGTATGATTATTTTTTCAGCTTATGCAGAAAAAATTGTATATTTTTTTGTTTAACCCTCTGTGCATTATGACCGGCTTTATCCGATCATCTGAAGTTTTGCTACTTGGCATATATTAGCTCACAATTCAAGATATTTTGCTTTCTTACTTTCTTTAATAATGCAAATATCATCTTAATGAATTTAAGTTTATGAAAATACAGACTAAAATAAGTAATTATGCAAACTCAATTAATAAATGCTGTTTAAATACTGGTCTTCATGACGGATGTAAAATCCTGCGCCACTCAGAGGGTTAATCATAGATGACTGTATCCTAACGACCATAACATGGCACGATTTATTTTTATACATCGCAGTATGCTTTTGATGATACATTTTTCTTTTTTTATAGCCCTTTTTACAATGCTATGAAAAATTAAACTAAAAACAACAAAATCAAAAATTTGTCAAAAAAAAACTGCAAAATGTTTTCATGAAAATTTATGAAGTGCTGTTGAATCTGATCACTTGTGTTTCCAATTATTTTGATAATGTTAACCGTATGGTAACTGTTATGAGAAAAAATATCTTTCAAACTACCAATGGACTTTAATCTGTATATATAAAAAAGAAAGTCTGTGTGATTGTTTGCTTATAACTCAGTCACTACTATAGCTATCGTCACCAAACTTTCTACAATTCTTTTCTGAGTCCTAGAAAAGGTCGACGTCCACTTTCCTGCCCCCCTCAACAAAATAGCTAAAATCAGAGATATTAATTAAAAACTCTTAAACGCTAATTTTCGTCCTCATTTTTCCGAGGGGCAACAGTGCTGATGTAATGAGAGAGAATTAGTTTATTTTTCTATGGAAATTTTTATATGGGTTCCATATCGCTCAAAATAATTCATTTTGATCAAATAATGATGTATTTAAAAAAAATTTTTGCAGACTCAAATGGCAATTCCATTACGGCTGCGCATATGCGTGTGCGCATGTGCATAATACGTTTACGCATGCGCGTTTAATGTATAACGGACGGTATAAGCTAAAATTCTCTAATTATCTATTTCAGTTAATGTTGCAGATTGCGTTGTCCTTAATCTTCGAATTGGATCCGGCTTATTTTTTGCAGACTGTTAGAGCAATTTTATAAAAGTAAGCTTGAACTTTCGATTATATCAAGTAGAATTTCCGATGCTGGAGCTTCCAAAGGATCTACAAAGCGAAAGTATGTTTCGATGTCCCTCAAACAAAAAGTAGAATTGCTGCAAAAAATGAAACAGATTTCGAAATGGTTAGAAAAACAAAGGCATATCCTTTGTTTCTCTAACCTTTTCGAAATCTGTTCATCAATTTCGCGCTGCTCTGCGGCAGGGGTGGGAGTAACGCCGCGGCGCGCAATGAATTCGAAGTTGATCTGTCAGCACTATCCTTATCTTCAGGGCAGACGTTTTCATTTTATTTGGCTTATAATTCCTTACTAAATGAAGTATTTCATCTCGATGTACTCCGCCTTTGATATGATTTAAATCAAATTCCTCGTCATTATAATTCGCTTCCAATAGTGAAGAAAGTGACACAGAGGTTATTGAAAACGAAAAAATTTCGATTGACAAATTAGTCAGTATTTTCGACACAGCAATTATAGGACTTGAACAGCGGAACTTTGTAACTGAAGAAATTATGTCTGTTTATAGAATTAAAGAGAAAGTATTATCACATAAAACAAAGCAACTTAAAGAACTTACATTGAAAGAAATGTTTAATAAAGTAAACAAATAAATATTAAGCTTTTTTTTTGGTAAATTTTTATACCCTTTAGATCATAACTGCTCTTTATTTCATAAATTACGGTTTCATATTTTTAATTTTATAATTTCTGCATGCCATCTTACCAGATTTAAATTGATGATCTATAATCTGTAAAAACCGATAAACCGGAATTGCCAAAGTCCCGATGAGTCCGGATTAAAGACTTTTGACTGTATTTGTATTAAGGGATATTTCTTATTTCACTGTAATTTTTTTAACATATAATACTTTTTATGGAAATTTGGGTTTTTTCTTTTATTGTTGTTGTTTATTTTTGTTTTGATAAAGTTGTTCTGCATAGTAATATTCTGTGCAGTTTTTAAATTTAATGTTTGGGGTTACCATTTAGGTATTTTCCTGGTATATTTAAAAGTTAGACAAAGGCTGGCCACATAGCAGCTAGTTATTAGATAAAATAACAAAGATGGAATTTTTTTTTCTTAAAAGGGTAATCAAAAATTAAAAAAAAATATTAATGGGAGAAACAAATAAAAAATTTTTAATCCCCCTTTGCTTAATGCTTCAAATAGATCTCTTCAAGGTGTTAGTGTTTAAAACATTAAAACGAGATGATTAAATGAGTGCCGAACACACGTTTCATTCTTCCTGCCATTATGTGACTCAAAATGCTCATCTTGTGCTCTAGTAACTTTGTTTATGTTTTCAATATTAACTTCTAGCCCATGGTTTTGATTACTATACTGATGATAACAACAAGTAATATAAAAAAAAAAAAAAAAAAAAAATTAAAGTCAATTCCTACTTCTGAGAATTTTTGCTACGTTTATGGGGCATTACATCTGCTTCATACAACTCTATAAAACAACAATTCTTTAATTGCATACACTTTAAAAATCTTTAGAACTCTGTTTTACTGTTGCCACTTATTTTTGCTAACTATGACAATCCCATTTGTTACAGTCATGTACTGTTATTTAATTAATTTTTACAATACGTGAGAATTCCTAAATAAAGGGTCACTATTTGTACTTAATATGTGAAATTTTTAATTTTAATTATCTTTACTATCTGAAAAACTGTATTAACATCAAGTGTCATCCACTACAAGTTTAAAAAATGTATTTGAACTTGAGTGGATGAATAAAAAGTATTTTATTAATGATTGAAAATTTGAATGAGGTAAAGAGTGTGAGCAAATTAAAAAGTAAATAAGAATTAAAAAAAAAAAAAAAAAAAGCCCCAAAGTCTTTCCCAGCAACACAATCTAGCCATAATTTCCTTCAAGTTTCATGAGCCTGCATGAATTTATTAATGGTTGTTACACAAATAATAATAGAATTAAAAATCATATGTTGCAGGTTCCAGTGTTCGTAACTCGAGACATGTTCAGCATTTGAACACATATTTTTTGCTAGGAAAAAATGTCTGCAAATAGAATTTTAGTAAAGCACGCAATCCAACATTTTCACATAAAAGTACGCATTGTTTAAAATTTGCTTAAATACCAAAAATAACATTTTCTTGATTGCAAACACAGCAAATAAAAAGTAGAATAAAATAACAAAAAATAGATATTTTATTCTTTGCTTAGCAAGTTAAAAATTAATGAGCTTCTTAATGGCATCCAGACATCGCCATTTATTTGGAATATAGAATGGCTCGAAAATATGAGGAAATGGTGCATCATAGCCAGTGACTCGTTGAATGGGTGCTTCAAGATTCAGGAAACATTCATTCTGTTGAAAAAAAAATATATATATTTATTTATTTCTTTAAATGCACAATTGAAATCTTACTTGGGCAGTTTTATAAAATTTATAAACACAAGAGTGTTTCAAATTAAATAAGCGTTCAAATAACTACAGTAACTATTAAATAACTACAGTCGAACCTAGAGATACAAGCACCTCTACATACGAGAAATTTTAGATACTAGGAAAGTATGAGTGAAAAATTCGTCTCTAAATACGAGCACTGACTCGAGTAATGAGACAGGCTGTGGGTATGTGTGGCGTGATATATGTGTTCCTGATTTGGCTTGACTCAGGGAATACCCTCGCTAGATCACTCAGTGTTCTCTGATCTACGTGTTTGTATTCTTGAGAGTGAATTGGTTTTTTACATTTAACGTGAAAATAATTATTTCTCAATGCCACCCCAGAAGATTGTTGCCTCAGATAGTGCTGCAAAGAAAAAGAAGGAAGCCATGGCCATTGAAATTTAGAAAGAAATCATAGATGAACATAAGCATGGTGTAAGAATGATGGAATTGATGAAGACTTATGGCCGTTGGACATTGATGAAGGACATTCTGAAGAAGAAAGAAATTAAAAAACTTGATGTGGCCAAAGGAATTACCGCTACTTCCAAGCACCATACAAAACTCCTAGAAGATGCTATTCTTAACAAATAAAAATTAACAAATAAATAAATATTAAGTAAACAAATAAATATTAAGCTTTTTTTTTTGTAAACCTTGATACCCTTTAGATCAGAATTGTTCTTTATTTCATAAATTACGGTTTCATATTTTTAATTTTATAATTTCTGCATGCCATCTTACCAGATTAAAACTGATTATCTATAATCCGGAAAAATCGATAATGTGGAATCACCGAAGTCCTGACGAGTCCGGATTAACGACTTTTGACTGTATACCATATAATTTTATAATTACATAGTCAGTTGTAGTACGTGTATTGAATATTACTCTGTATCTTTGGCATTTTTTATGCATTACAATGACGCATAACATTCCTTATGACATGTAATATGCTATTATCTGAATTTGAAAATGATGTCATGTGTAAAATAATACATTAATCTCAATCTAACTTAACTGGCATCGGGAGCTTCCGCTAGTTTAATATAAATATAACCAGAAATATATAAATTCGTACTTTAACAGTATTTTAATTTTAAAAAAATCATCAGTAATTTATTATCTGTAATCATTATGCAAAATTTCATTATGAACTATTCGTACTCATAAGATTTCTGGAAATATGTTTTACTAAGTGATAGGCAGATGTCTTGTTCTGTCATTGATATTGCAACTTGACGTTTTTCATCAGCATCTACCCAAGTGCTGGAGATATTTTTAATTATTCGACTTCTTTTATTTGATCCATTATTAAAAGGTGGGCACGTTTAAAACAGATGTTTATAATCAAAATCGTAAAAAACAACCTTATATTTAACGTAGGTATAATGAAACACTCAATCGATTTCGAGGGCATCTAAAGGTCCCT